TCAAAGACAATTGTAATCCAATCAGAAGAATCCAGGTAGTATTTATGTAATGCACTACTGCCTCTCTTCCTATGGTAGTTACTTGTCAGATATTTTATGTTTCCCTATTTATGCAACTTAAACCCAGCCACCCCCAATGAATCAAACAAAAAATAGAGGTTCAACAGAGAGTTGCCCTTTTTGACGATATCATTCTCAGCCAGTACAATCGCATATATTGTCATTTTTAGTGACAAAAGGAGTATTTCCAAAGATGAGTCATTAGAATTGTAAACTTTAGGTGGCAAATCATGTAATAGAAAAAGCCCTGATTAAGCAGGAACTGGGACTTTGACGCGTCACGAGGGGTACTTCAAACAAACTACAGACCTTCGTCAACAGCTGTCTTCGCTCAAAATCAGATGGCCTGCCAGAAAACATCAGCAACAGGGATCTCTGACAATGAAGGAACCAACCCAGAAGGATCCACTTTTGCAACAAATATGCAGGAAGAAATAAAGGTGGATTGGATTAACCATACTCTGAGAAAACAAACCATCAAGTAAGTGACATCACACGCCAGGCCATCGCTCTAGTGGAACCCGAGTGGGAAGCGGCCAATTAGTCGTGAGTTCGAGGGTTGGGTGACATGGGGGAGGTCATGCGCAGAGGAGATGAAAACATGTGGACAGACGTGAAGCCAGGTGAAGACGTTGACAGAGAACCTAACTCAATGGATACGTGCGGCTGATACCCTATGTTCCTCTAGGAATTAAAGGAAATAATAATAATATAGTCTTTACTTTCAGATTATTCGACTGATTGCTTTTATTACTAAATCTGCATATTTGCTGAATTCTCGGCTTGCATTACTCCTTTCTTCCTGTTTTTCTTCTCAGAATAACTACGTGGAGGCTGAATTAGTCAATGCCACAACTTTTATGCAGGAACATATATATATACATTTTGTTGGTAGCAGTCAACCCATGGGTTAAATAAACGTTTATCCACAGGAGGCTCATTCTTATCCTTTGAATGAAGCTGTTTTCCCGTCTCGACCTATATTCAAAATTGTGACAAACATCCTATGATGATAATTCCCTATTAAACACACTTCAGTCATATTGGTATGATATGTTTTGCATGAAATTCTCGACCAGAAAGTATTGTGCATAAAATATATCTTAAAGGAATACACATTTAAACTATCAGTTAACCTTTAGTGAGTAGATGAATCTAATGCTAAAGATGTCATTAAGCCTGGTGACGAAATATACATGGTCAAATCCAAAAGATCGGAGAATACCAAAATGACTGTCATGAATAATTCTTACGTGTAAGCGATCTTTTGCATTTAGAAAGAAGATACTACTAGACTGTTGAGACCCAGGTTGGGTAGGTAGATATTCGTCAGCCAGATTAAGGACGGTTTTTCTCTCTCCTCGAAGTAGCTATGCTCGACTGTGTTCTTAGTTATATAACCATAGAGGAAATGAAGAGAACCCATCTGTTTGGTCATTGGACATCCACCTAACTTTGATTAGATATTCATCTTCGAATTTTATTGTGAAGTATGATTAGCTGACAGACAAACTTAAGACTTTACACTGAACTGCATTAGTTCATGTTGCAACACCTCGGAAGAGAACAAAAGATAGAGAAACGGAAAATAATGATAGTACAATAAACAAACACTAGGGAGACCGATTCAAATTTCCTTTTAAAACATATGCTTGAAATTCTTGTTTTCCTACACTATCTGTGTTAGGGTTGAGAAATTCATAATCAAACTAATTATTACTGTTGCGAGTAATTGCGCACTCTTACATCTATCAACATTGCACGATGACTGCATGGTGACTTCAACCTCTTGAGGCCGAGGTTAGCCAAGAATTATGATCATCTCAAATAATCACTTGAGTTGCAACTGTATATAAAGCTTCCAGGAAACTAGTTAGTTAAGCTGCCTGGACGACTTCAAACTCATTTACGATCGGTTTCAATTAGAAGTAAATTTCGCGATTTTGTGTGTCCATCCATCCTACTAGATCTGAACTATAGCCACACTACCTGCTTATTCTTTAGCCTGACCCACCTAACCTAATGGCCAGGCGGTTCTATACACTGCCCTCAGCTAACAAAGACAGAATATAATTCTCACCGCTGCTCAAAGGTGTATTTACTAGCGATGATAGGAACAGGCTATAGGGATACGCAGTCACACCGCAACACCGCTTCTGAGCTATTGTGCCTTGAAAATTATCCTGACCACCATGTGTTCCAGTCCGCATGAATAGACTAATTGATCATTAACAGTGAAAAGGCTAAGATTCAATTGACTTAACCAACTTCTTGTTCTCCCCTCCCCAAGCTTATGAAATCTCTATACATCTACTCAGAACTTAAACAGAAGTTTCTCTCCTGATATTATGTTAATAATGTGCTTGGTACATAAATTCGCGTCCAAGGACCCAAATCTATTAGAAAAAGTGAAGTAGCTGCTAAATATGTATTATGCATCACAGTAATTGCTAGATTTAGACTAGTACAAACACTGTAGCACTAGTTTCCTCTGATTTCAATCATTAAGTGCACCTTATTCCTTCATCGAAATATTGCAACCCCTAGAAAAACTCCGCACTAATTTTACCAAATGGTCTGTGTGTTAGAGTAACAACTAGAATGAACAACTTTTTAAGATTCGCTAGAGAAGTGAAAAAAGCAAGTTATATAACTGTTCCTCAGCATTAAACATAAGAAATCATTCGATCGAAATGAATACTTTTAACTTAAAAATAAGAGTAAATATCATAAGTCCTTTGCTTACAAAACAGTTCTGTGTGCTTTTGCCTTGGCCCTTACTGTGGAAACTTTAAAAATGGTCTTTCATTGGAAAGCAAGCTAATTTTATCTGGTTCTGATTTCATTTTTTGCTGAAACCAGTTGTTAAAACATTATAGAAAGGCTATTTGGTTTGGCTTTTCAGTCGTACACAGAATAACCGAGTCACTTTAAAAGCTTGAATTAAAATCACTGTGCTTCAAAAAGGCACACTCAAAATTAAGGGCAAGAGGTGTAGTGAAAAGATTATGGACGAAAACCTATAAAAAAAGATAGTAATGAAAATGAAGACTACTAAACGTTTTCTGAATCTAGAAGACGACAACTACTGAATGAGTCTGATCTATTGTAAATCATTTCGAGCATCTAAATGACGTCAATCAGATGGATTACACTGACATGCATGGCCCAGATCAACAGTTAACGGATTCGTGGATAGATTACATGGTTTAGTCTGATAACGCCGAATTCAGCTAGCATCATTCGTCGAGGAAGGTGGCTGCTTACCATGCGTGGCACGAGTCTCAATCTTTTTAACTTGAGATTTCATAACCTCATTGACTGGCTTTCACTCTTTATCCTAACCTCATCACTGCCTATCATCTTGCTGCACTTAAAGCGGTAGATTAACCGAAGACTCCCATGATCAAAAGCCCATAATCCTTCAGTGTATGCCAGCAGCATAGGTTTTGTCACAGCAGTGAAGCAGAACAGAACAAGTAATACAAATTGCGCAAGCCTCTGAATGAGAGGGTTGCCAGATATCACTTATTCACCAAAAATGTTGCGGGTTCATAGTTGTCAAGTGAGCCTTCTTTATTCGCACTGAGATTTCGTCAGCAACTAATCTATTAAGGTTGATGTAGATAAATGATGCAGTCTACACACCTCCTATCCTTAAACTAGAAGCCGGCGCAAGCCAACTCTGCGGTATCACTTTACACTGAAAAGTAACTCGCCACACATCAAACACACTTCTTAGTGTTAACAATTCACATTGTTCTGTAATTTTTCACGTTTTAAACCACCATTTTGATGATCTTTCCGAAAAAGTACCTAGTTTGTCAGATTTGCGGTCCGTGTGAAACGACGGCTAAAAAAGATGCAGAAGAAGCATGAGAATAAAGGAAAGACTTTTTCCAATTCATGTACATTAACCTCTTTGGGCTAAACAGAAGATTAGGGGCTTCTTACTTTCGACAAAGCAATCAGAAAACTCTACTAACTGCAGAGTCTTTAGATCTTTTATTTTTACTGTTAAGTCCTAGTGCTTTTATAGTTACAATAGGTGAGAATAAGCTGTGGTGGTAAATAATTTTATACAATCAATAGTGCACACCTCCATCGATACAAGTTTCTGAAATTCATTATTTCACTGAACTCGTCAGGTGGGTGGCACTAGGTCAAGCACATTCACCTTTCATCAGGTTGTTGTGTTATATTTTATTGTTAATACACGATCCCTGGTTAGCTAAGTATGGATCCAAAGTATACGTCTCATGTTACGAAATTAAACTGTTTTGCCAACGGTTCACTACCTGGATGCCTTAGTGGTGGATATAGACGTAAGTACATTAATTAACAAATTAATTTTATCAGCAAATCATTCCAAAAACTCTTAGCAGTTGGTGATACTGTCGATTAGGTCCAAAACAAAAAACACATTTGTCACAAACGAATGGTTGCATACACCCTATATGGCAACCTTCTTATTCTGAAAAACAGTCACGTTTTGAAATTCGCAACTAGAAAATCATGTTTTAGACAACTTATAGTCATTATAGAGACTAGATGTTTTACACGTCGTAGGTCTGCAAACAGTGCATTACTGACCTATTCATGGATAAAGAAAAATATACACAAAAGGTATAACTTATATTGTATGAAATTAAAGCTGGTACTCAAAAGACTTATTTTCAAATGCTTCAACTTTACGGGACCGAAGGTGTGAATGAAACTTTAGCGCTTGAATTTGAACCATTAGTTTTAAGACGAAGAATCCAACTAACGATTCAAAGACTACGAAAATAAACTCGACGATATGAAAAGTTCTCTCAAATGATGAAAGTATCATTTGGGTATTGAACAGCATGAAGGAAATTGCAGGCAGCTGTATTAAAATAGTCAGTAACCAAGATCCAGCTAATTCGGGTACCTAAAAATCTGGATGTATATTAATGTCAAAATACCATCTCCATCAGATTGCCGGCATAGCCAAGATAGAGTCTAAGGCCTTCCAAAACGGAATATAATGCAAACACAGCTGTGTTGATCACCTTGTATATAGGATCCAAATATTCAAACTATGAAATCCACGTAATAATAATATCTCTTTTGTTAAACGGTTACTTCTATAATGAGAGTTATCAGCGTGCCAATGAACCAGAATGGTGCGTAACAGCTATTAAAGTAAAATGCCATCTGTAAAGGTAAATTTGTCACATATTCACATTCTGATCATACATATTGTAACTATGGGTGTTATACAAATACCTTTGTGTTTATTCTTCGAATATACAACTCCATGGGAGCTTCTGCTCAGAAACATATAGTCTGCTACGGATTTGAGGGCATCTCTAACTTTCTCTGACATGGTCAAGAAAACATTTGAATTCGCACCAAACTTTGTTGCTTAGCAGCGACAACAATACAAATGCAGGTTATGAACCGAGGATAGATGACTTCCATTCCCTTTAAGTACCACGTTTGTGCACGCGTCTAGTTCATTCCTGAATAAGTATACTGAATGTGCGGTTAATGCTTGTTGGTTCGAAGAGGTAGTAAGGACTGGTAAAATATAGCTAATCGACAGCACTATCAGCAGTTTCTAAGATGATAATCAAGTGCGATGACCAGTATTTCATAATGGTATAGTTCATCCTTAGCTTCGACCAGTTCTGCTACGTCCTCTGAGATGTATTGGTCTGGTCGGAGGGAAAAGGGGATAATTCAGGTTTATAGTTAGTTCCAATATCCAATATCGTTTTTACGAGCTAGTATAAACCAATTTGATTTCTTTGTGCTCGCCTCTTGATTGTGAGGTAGAGATTCCTGATCTTCGGTAAACTTCTGCGTAGCTCGTCCCGCCACTCGACTGCCGTAGCTTTGGTTGACTCCAAAAGGAGTAGTGCAGGGATTAATTATATGTGGTTTGTAGTATGAAGTGTGTTAAGACTGTTACTACTGTGAATGGAGTTGATCCTTTCACCAGTTGGTCCTTCGGTATAGTCGTCAATAGAAAAGAGATAATAATAATAATAACAATAATATTAATAGATATAATTAATAAAGGTATTCAGAATAACAGACATAAAAAGAATAAGAAAACGTAACAACAGTGAGTCAACCGGTATATATACATACCAGTAATAATAATAATAGGTGTAGTTAAAGGTGTCAGGAGAGTAAGACTGAAGAGAATGTGAAGAAGTAAAACGACCAGTTTAATTGTCTACCTTTGAATGGTATATGCGATTTTAAGGGGATAGGCCATTTGGATGCAGTCCTTGTGTCGCTGCATGGTTGTCCAGCCTTCGCTTAAAGGCGTCCACAGATGGTGCCATAGCTACATCTGCCGGTAAGGAATTCCAGGGACGGCAAACCCGCAGGGAAAAGAAGTGGGAGCGCACCCGGGTCCTTGCCCTCTGATGAGCTATCCTTCTAGGATTTCCACGAGGGAGCCTATACCTACTCAATGGCAGAACACCTTTGTTTGGGTGATTCTGATCATTTGTTATTTTGTAGGCAGTAATTAAATCCCCCCTAAGACGACGGTAACTAAGTGTGAATAGGCCTAATTTCTTCAGCCTTTCATCATATGGTTTATTTCGGAGACCAACCACTCCTTCTGTTGCCCGTCGTTGGTTGGCGTCTCTTTTAAGCAGTGGGGGTGCAATGATATTATGCACTTCAAGATGCGGTCTGGAGTATGTTTTATACAACCTTGGAAAGAGCTCAGGAGTGAGTGCACCTAATTGTCTATGTGTAAAGTGTATGACCACATATGCCCTCGCTACATCCCCCGTGTAATTTACGTTTGTGTCCATTTTCTCCGTTAGAACTAGACCTAAGTCACGTTCCGACGTTGAGCAGGGCAAGCTTTCATTGCACAGGGTGTAACTTGCATTCTGTAGTCTACAGGTGCGTAACTTCACTACTTTGCACTTTTTCAGGTTGAAAGTCATTCCACTGGCTACCGTCCAGTCTTCCAGAAGCTTTAGATCTGCCTGCAGTCTATCTGAGTCCTCCGGACACTTTATCGCCCTCCATATCTTCACGTCATCAGCGTATAGAAGAGTCGGGCAGCTTAGACGGCATGGTAGATCACTGATAAAAATCAAGAACATCAGTGGTCCCAGGATAGAACACTGCAACACTCCTGATGACGATCTGTGCCAAGATGATCGGACTCGATTGACCTTGGTGCAAAGTTGCCTTTCAGTTAGGTAGTCCTTCAACCATGACAGAAGTGGTTTACCTAACCCTACTTGGCTTATTTTGTGTAGGAGAAGGTCATGGTGAACAGTGTCAAATGCCTTCTCAAAGTTTAGAAAGATCACATGGACTGGAACATTCATATCCCAGCATGATGTCCAGTCGTCCCAAGCTGATAATAAGTTGGTGACGCAGGATTGCCCTTTCCTGAAACCGTGTTGGGCTTCATGGAGTATTTTAGACCTATCCAGATATTCCCTGATGTGATCATCAATAATAATTTCCAATACTTTCGATACCACTGGGAGTAGAGCTACTGGTCTATAACTGATGGGATTTTGCCTATCCCCACCCTTGAAGATCGGAGAAAGGATGCTTCTTTTCCATTCCTTTGGCAGTTTCCCCGATTCCATGGAGTGTTGGAACAAGTCGCATAAAGGCCTACAGAGAGCTTCGGCGCACTGTTTCAGAACAGATGGCCTGATGTCATCACAACCTGGGGACTTTCCAGGTATGAGTCGCTGCAGCTTTCTCAGTACTATTGCAGGGTTTATTTGGGGGGTGGCTGTTTGGTCCTCCTCCTATGAGATAGTGATGCCACCATTTTGGTCCGTAACGGTAATACCCACATTGCTGTTTAGCTGTTTGGCGAAGGCTAAACTAAATGTTTCGGCCATCTCCAGACTAGTGAGATATTGACCGTTTTGGCCTACTAAGGCGCACACTCCCTGGTTGGTTGGTTTCCTTTCCGACATGAATTGGTACAAATTCTTGGGGTTTGCCAGGAGCTTTTTAGCAAGGTTAGCCTGGAATGACCTCCTGTCCCTCCTGACTCTTGCATTGCACCGGTTCCTGAGTTCCAGGTATGCATCATGGTCGATCTGACTTTTAGATACGCGCCACGTAAACCAAGCCTTCCGCTTTGCTTGCAGAATACGCTGCGTGCCTTTCTTTAACCACGATGACTTTCTTTTGGGCTGTTCTAAAGATTATTGACATTGTGAATAGGTTTTTCTTCTGTTCATTGTTTGACATGAGGAAAAAATTAAATCTTTGAAGTCGTTTCACAAATAATAAGTCAGTGATACCATGAGTCACACGTATTTCCATCCTCTGTACTCCTAATACTTATGAGCCTCCTTTTTGGGCAAGAGCCTGCTGCTTGAATGTAATTTTTGAGCCAAATCTCACCATATGTGCATATAAAGTATCACTGTTAATTCCAGTAAGGGCTCTGCATATTGCGTAAGTCGAAAAATCCACCACTTGAAGCTGCAGAAATGTTTGTAGTAGTTTTCAAGTCATGGTTTACCATCACTCAAAAGAAGTGTGCATCTGAAGTAGAAGAGAAGTGCCCCTCTATGTTGTATTCGGTGACACTTGCGTGCTCAGTGACTAAGGCTGCGCGCTTTGCTCCATAATAAAATGCATACGTTATTAAGATCGATTGAACAGGTTACTGAAGTTTATTTGCAACGTAAGTACATTGCCGAAATCCTTAAGCTTTTTCCGAATTTTAATGTTACGATTTTAGAGAACCACACGTGATTTGTTGATGCCAAATAATTTACTGATATAGGGAATAGGTACTATGGAGTCGATTAGAGCACTATACGGTACGCCACTTGGTACCATTTTAAATTAATAAACCATGTGACTATAAATTTTTTTAAATAATATTTGATACCGCCCACAGCAAAGTTATATAAGGAAATCGACTTCAAGATTTATTTTCTTCCTTATGTTTGTGATCCATCCGACATAAACTTGGATTTTTCGTTAATGCAAAGACAATATTCCTATATTTCTCAATATGCTCCATTGAATGACCAGGTAGCAGACTGTTTCAATAAACTAAAGTCAAAAAAGTACAGCAACCCTGTAAATTCACCATAAAAAATTTATGCGGTTTAAGTAATACTTATTCATGACTGCACAACTGGTTATTCTGACATGGACAGGAATAAATATATTGTTATATACCCATGTGTATGGTGTCCTGTTAAGAAAACCTTGTTGAGATGGTCAGTAATGTAGAAAAAGACTGTGTGGTATATAATATAATAATATAATATAATAATAATGTATTTCATATAAATTTACAAATTTACATGAAAATGCATGCCATTTTTACAGGCACGATCAAGTATGATATAATATCAAATCGTAGATTGTCTACAAGTTAATCGTATTTCAACTGTTAAATATTCGATACATATAATACACTCATTTTCTGAATTAGGCCGTATAGTTATTGAATTGTACAGTTGTCCTCCAGGTTGAGCGGGAAAATCGACTTCGTTCCGTTTTCATCCCGTGGTTGTAGGCATACGATAACCAACCAATATTGAGGTAAGTACACCTTTTACAAGGGATTGGAATCTGTTTTAGAAAAATTAAAGTGCTGAGGTGAATCATTAAATTGTAATGAAATAGGTAAGTGCAAGTATCATTAATAAATGCATTAATAAAGGAAACACCCTAGGGTAGCAACATTCATTTGCAATGTATAATGCTACAGATATATCACAAACTATCATGATATCCACTTTTGGTTTTAATACAATTATCCTCATGCCAGTTGTTTTTATTTTATACCTTTTTGTGCATTTAGTGCACAACCGTACCCTTCAGAGAGTAGGAGTATAATAAGTAATGAAGAGCTATAAGATGTCAAGTTTAATATATATATATATAACAGTATATGTGAGTGCTTTAGTATAGGCAAGCCAATACTGTATGCAGATGACTTAAAGGTGACATATACCTGCACAAACACAGATATCGGTACAACTATGAACTCCATACATGAAGAACTAACAAAAATGGATATATGGTGTGACACCTGGAGACTTGAGTTTAATGTCGAAAAGTGTGGCTGGCTCTGCATAGGCTGTCCCAACCTAGAACTCGACCTAGCAATTCAGGGCCACAAAATCCCTAGACTCAAATCTGTGCTAGACCTAGGACTGACATATTCACAAAATCTATCATTTTCTGAACATATCTCGAAACAAGTATCGAAATCACGCAGGCTTATTGGTTTCCTACTCAGGAACTTCTACAGAAGTGAATCCAGAATACTACTGTAC